CTGTGCTCCTCCAGCTCCACACTGTGTTATCTCAGACTCCAGCATCAGCAGTTCTTACTGTCTCAAGGTTTGTAGGCAAGTTGGTAGAATTTTGGACAGGAAACCTGGAGTTTTCCTGCATGAACTGGAGCACTATGGAGCAGGCTGCAGCTGCAGTTATGTCAGGTCATTGACGTTTTTGGGAATGCGTGGTTGAGTAGATTGGATGTGTCCAAATTTGTGAGGATAGACATGGGTTCAGCATAAGCGTGGAATATGATGAGAAAGAAGGTTAAGTTTGGGTGAAGAAACAATCCTGTTCCCCTTAATTCTCAAGTGCTAGAAAGTCTCTTAATTTTTACCAGAGTTGTCTTCACTCTCTGCTTCAGCTGTTTGGCTTTTGAAAACTGGGAACTCTTTCTATTCATCGTAAAATCTGTCTGTTAATGTAGTACTTTCCATAAACCTGGATGTACAATTCTATTTCTTCACCCAATTGTCATCGATACATATTGTGAAAATCTCAGTCCTGTTCACAGGTCCTAAAGCATATCACATACCTTATATCATCAATTTGAGCACATTCTCCTTGTCCCTTCTCTCTACTGATGTTCATTGGTATGGTATAGTATATAATCCTATTGTATCATTGAGAACTAGAGTCAACCACTTTTGAATTCAAATGGTTACCTGAAGAGTTATCATTGTAAAAACATTTCCAAAAAGACATTTAACCCTTTTGCACCATTAATTTTAATCAAAAGGAATTGCAAGTCAATTTTTAATTGAAAATTTGAAATAATTTATCCTGCCACGAAAAAGATACAAATATCTTTGCATTAAAATGGCTCAAATATGAGATTTTGTATTTTGTTTGTTTAAAATAAAATATACCTAGTCAGCAAATTTTACTTAATATATGAGTCTATTCATTTTAAAACTCCAATTAATACTTTTAATAAAATGATCATTCAATCTTTAATCTGCATCCACCAAAGTCATAAATAAATCATCAGATATACAGCAATAATTAAATCAGCTATTCAATTGATCACAACAAGTTTAAGATTTTAGAAAATTGGTTCAAAGGCAGTGTGCACAAACACAGCTATTTTTAAGGATCCAACATTCTCAATTCATTTGCAATTTACCTCCATTTAGTATCTTCTAAATATTTTGATCCACTTTTAATCCATTCATTAACTATATGTAGCCTGGCATCATGATGTTTTATCTGTACACTTATGCAATGCAATTTTGTTCATACAATTGATGTGCAGGATTTATCTCTAAAACAATTGGTGAGTTCATTCAGCAATATTTTTCAGTATACCACAATCATGCAAGATTATGCAACATGACGGGGAGTAATTGTGGTAAAGGCTGCAATGTTTTAAATTGGATTGCTTAACCGAGTCTCAACAAACGATGTGGTCAGAAGATTGGTTGAATATTGTGTGTAGGTCACTCAAACACCTGCTCCATTCCCAATGCCTCCCCACACTCCCACTGCACCTTCCCATGCAGTCACAGAAGGTGCAACAGCTGCCTGTTTACCTCCTTCCTCGTCACTATCCAAAGCCCCAGATATACCTTCCATACGAAGTAGCGATTTCCCCGCACTTAATTTAATCTAGCCTACTGTATTCGCTACTCACAATGTGGTGTCCTCTCCAATAGGGTGATGGAACACAGACTGTGTGGTCGCTTTGCAGAACACTTATTTTCTGTTCACAAAAGTGATCCTGAACTTCCGGTTGCCTACCACTTCAACATCTGGCCAATATCTCTGTCTCAGGCTTGCTGCAATGCTCCAGCGAAGTACAGCAAAACAGGAAGAACAGCACCTCATTTTCTGCTTGGGATCCCTGCAGCCTTCAGAACTCAATATCGAGTTCAATAATTTAAGGATCTGAGCACTTTCCTTTACCCCAGCCCCCATACACCAGGTCTTGCCATTACCTGGGTTGCTACCACAACCAACTCATCATCAGCTAAAGGTCCCAATGAGCAGCTATTGATTTCTGCAGTCTGACCATTGCCCATTCCTTTGTCTGCCTGATTGGGTTGTTCTCTGTCTCTGGACTCCATCTCCACCTGTCATTAACTCCTCCTCCCCCAGCCCATCTTCAGCCGATTTTCAGCCAACCTTTTCCTAGCTACAATCAGTTCTGGAGCTTTGTTTATTTGCATTATTCTGATACAGGCTAAAGCAGGTCTGTAAAGTTTTTAATTACTCTATTTAAAGTCATTCAGCCCATAAATTACGTAGTGGTATTGTGACAATAATTTCCAACTTTGGGAAAATCAGTTATCTGTTTTGTCTTGTGAATACTTAAATTGTTTGATGTTTTTGAATGATATTTAACAATTGGAGAAAAGGTTTTATTAATTGTAATCACACACCTTAAAAACTAAATTCTATGAATGGACAGAACTGCCGAGCACTATTCTAATCTTTAATATTCATAAAATTTGTACTAAAATGTTTCTCAATTTTATTGCCAAGAGATTCTGCAGCACTGGAATGATATCTGTTATACATTGTTTATTCTAGCTTTGTAGAGATTACAGAACCAATGTAAAATTCAAACAAAATCTAGCTTATCACATATTTGTAGGCTTTTATTCCCATTTTCCATAGTCTGTTGTGTTTACACTAGATATCAATAACCGAAGGCAGTTCTAACAATGGAATATACCCAATGTTCTTTATTAAAACAATGTACACTACAAAAAATACGACAAAAAAACCTTACCCATACAATGCTTGCAATCACAAGAGAACCCATTTACATGGACTTGTCCAAAGATCAGACCAGAACAGGTGATCAGCCTGCTGTATCCTAATTTCTAAGCATTTGATCAGACACCCTGTGTTCTCTGAACTAGCAATGTTCCTCAGAACAGTTCTGATGAACTATTTCCAACATTTTAGGACATATTTTATGAATATTCGTCAGAACAGTTCTGAGGAAAGGGCACAGTCCAAAGATGTGTAGGTTAGTTGGATTGGCAATAGTAAATTGCCCATGGTGTCCAAGGATGTGTAGGGCTAGGTGGATTAGCCATGTGAATGTAGGGTTGCAGGGATAAGGTAGGAGGATGAATCTGGGTGAGATACGCTTTGGAGATCAGTTTGGACTTCGTGGTCTAAATGCCCTGCTTTCATGCTATAGGGATTCTATGATTCTACTATATTGGAAGCCTGTTGTTTTCAATAAAACTTCTCTCAGTAACTTTGCCTTGACACTTAGTTTGATCCTTCCTGACCATGTAATTTGGTTCTTGTTGCGCAGTGTTGGTAATAATGTAATTGTCTGATAAAACTAGTATATTCTCATTGTATCTGGTTTAAAGTTGGGGAATGTCTATATCTGCATTGCAGAATGCCTGAAGGGGGTCATTGATCTCACCAAAGAATATTTTTGTTCCTCTTTGGTAGATATTATTCGACTTCAATAATTGCCTTATTTTTGAAGATTTATTTTTCCTTTGGAAGCTGCGAGCCTTGCTTTGTCAGATTTTCCCAAAATGACTAATGTTCCTTGAAAGAAAGCATTCAGCTATATATGCAGGTCATTATTCACACTGGCGGATCTTCTTGGTGCCACAGCACTGGCGCAGTATTACGGTAAATACAATTGCCCTCCCACTTTTACCATCTTCTCTGGTACTTCTTTTACACTCATATGGTGAAAGTACCCTACGGTGATGGGACATTTCCTGAACCAGAGTTTTT